GGAGCCAACAATGGCACATCGCCACTTGTGTGTGCTTGGTGGAAGGAAAGGATGGAAAATCAGGCAGAGAATTTGTACACTGTATCGCAGAAGCTATACAAGAGAAATGTGCTGTTATCCTAAGTTGAGCAGACTTTTAAAATCTTGACTGACGGAAGCCAAGCACGCAAAACTAAAGCTGAAAAAGAGATGGTCTTAATTCGCACCAAAAGGAACGGGATACCAATTTATATCGTTGCCAGTTTACTGGAAATGGAGAAATTTGGCGGAGGTAGTGCTGGCGCTATTTTTAATGGGATTAACAGTTTGTTTAAAGAATCTGCCCCCTTTGCTATGTCGCCAGAGCAGTATCAAGAGAAATTAATTAGTTCCACCGGTAGATACAATGGCGTCCTTACTCAGCTAAAACGAAACCGTCCATGGCTGTTAACCATCTATTGTGCCAATCATAGAATAGAACTTGCCGTAAAGGCAGCCTTCAACATTAACGAGTTTCAAGCTATCAAAGAATTTTACAAAACGAACTATTACCTTTTGAAAAATTCTGGGAGATTGCAAAGTCAGGTTATCGAGTGCGCTCGTAGTCTTGGTATTTCTTACTATCGGCTTCCTATGATTCACAGTACGCGTTTCGTCAACCATCGCCGCCACAGTTTCAAAACTTTGCTCGAAACTTGGCCTGCCTACACATTAGCCTACAAGAAATTCTGCTGCTAATACCCAAGAATCCACCGCAAACGTCTGTGCCAAAATTGGCGGTCTTCTAAAGAAATTCAAGTCCTATTCATTCATGTGTACCGTTGATGTATACTTGGACCTGTTAGAGAAGATTGCTCCAACATCCATGGTCTTTGAGGCAGAAGCACTGATGCCATACAATGTTCCCTTGGCCGTGTCGAGATCGATTATGGAATTGCGGGGAAAAGAAGATATCAAGACCGATGTTGAGTTTCTTGACAGCTTTATACATCGCTATGTCGCTTCGGAGAATGGCGTTATCACTGGAGAATTCGTAAAGGCAGGAGACAAAAGAAAGAGGAAGACAAACCGAGAATACATTAATGTAGAGTTCCGCATAGATGCGTTTTGACTAGGGGAAGTGTCTAAAAAAGATGCAAGACATCAAAAGAAAAATCATTCCATCCGTTATCAATACTTTGAAGATGCGTTTCTCCAGCTATGAAGAAACAATCTACTCGCATATGAAATGCATTGACCCATCATATTGGTCTGAGGATAGGGATTATGGAAATGAAGATATATCAGCATTAGTGAAACATTTTGAGAAACCGCTCTCCTTCAACCCTACTCGTGTTTTGAAAGAGTGGAGAAGCTTCAAAATCTTTGTTAAAAGTCATTATCCCAAGCTGCCTGATGCACAATCCTTATGGAGATCCATCCTATCACAACGCCGCCAAGAATTTCCTAACCTTTCCATGTTGGCCAGTCTCATTATGAGCATCTCGGTATCCAATTCGTCGGTCGCATGTACGTTCAGTGTCATGACAAATATCTTGTCAGACAAGCGACTCTCTATGCACCATGAGACAATGACTCACTGATTGTTTACGGAAATGACAATTTGTGGACTATGGAAGAAAGGAATGAAATAATCAATCGTGTGGTAAAAATTTACCTCGGGGGGGGGGGGAAAGAAGCACAGAAGTCGATCCAGCAAAGCGAGACCAGCAAAGAAGCAGAAATTGAACGATGCCGGCAATACCCCGTTTGCGGAAAGTGTAGACCTTACACAGAGTTCTGGCAATGAAAGCATCCCAGACCAGGAAAGTACAAGCAGTGACAGTGACAGTTTTGACACTATGTCCAATTCTGATAAACAATCTTTGGACGATTGATAAGAAGGAACGGTGTAAAGGGACAGATCTTAGAGTAGATAGAACATTTAGCTCACAAAATATATATTTGAGCGTCACACAAAAGGTCAAAAACCTACAACTTGTACATATTTTGGTAGTTAAAGTCCAGGTTTTTTTAAGGCAGTTAATGTTTTAATTTGTAAATCAACAAGATTATTTGCAAATTGTGTCATTTCTAGATATGTGGGGGGCCGAAAAAATTTTCACAGCACGCGCAACATATTTTGCATGCGCGATTAACCGCTCCCGCACAATTTTCTTAGGGCAAGGCCTGACTTGTATCAAACATGGCAGTTAGTTTCCACAAGGAGTTAAATGAGTTAAGCACAGCTGATATTTATAGCAAGAGAAATAATGAACGCGGCAAATATTATGAAGTTGAGAGGATTGCGTCCAAAAGAATGCATAAAACATAAAGTAAGTTGATTTAAATTTCACTATCGGTTTATAATATAATATGAATATCCAGCGTTGATTGCCGCGAGTATTTACTATTATTTATATACTACAAATTTTCAATTTAGGCGGAATATCTTGTTAAATGGAAAGGATATAGTTCCCTCTGTAGCACTTGGGAACCATAAGATAATCTGAATGAGCTGGCTCTAAGGTAAAAACAAATTAAAATCGTTTTGATCAGTATATTTATTAAAACATATTTTAATAACATGATATTTTGAAGGTTGGTATATATTTCAGAATGGCAGCATAGTTCTAACCTGTTGTGTTTTCTTTGCTATGCTAACAAACTTCAATAAGATAGAACTATATAATGAACTGCTGCATTCTTTAAAAATTGACTTCTATTTTAGGATAGTCCAATTCATGTATATATGCATCAGATAAATAGAACTGAATTTATTAAAGAATAATTTAATTGTAGTTCTATCTTATTGAGAATTGTATACTAATTGATCCAAATAATGTATTTGTTTATCAACATAGCTTATGTACTTCTATCTCTAACCGAACATTTTCCAACCCTAGTCCGGACAGGGAATTGGTTTGTGCTGGAATTGATGCCCTACACATGGCAATTCAGCAAAATTTGGCAACCAAAAGCACCTTGCCTACTGTTTCTCAGTTCAGGCATGATGTCTTCAACTACCTGTTCAACAGAAAAGGCAAAATGGATAATGGTAGGCACATTTTTCTTGAGAAGGAGGATTTCTCAAGATGCACAATGCCTATTGAATGGGACCAAGTAGTGGACAAGTTAGGGGATGGGGTAAGGTGTCTTTTTCAAAGAAGGCAGGGGCGGATCTAGCCAAAAATCTGACCGTAGCACATTCAAAGACCTCTCATAGCTAGGGGGTCTGCTATAAAACATGATATATGTGTATATCATAATTTGCATATTAATTCCGATGCAAGCAGGTATACTGTACATATATCCCCACAAATGCTTAAAGCAAAGTTAATAGCGAACACTACAGCATAAACTCGTATTAAAATATTTGTGTGCATCTCTTATTTAATATTCACAATTTATTTCTACCTTGACTTATTCATGTTCTTTATGACAGGTTTCATTTTGAAATGTGCACAACCGTACTGTGGCTTCCCTCAGCATGTTGTTGATGAGCCGAACACAAATATCAAATATTCCATTGTTCTGTAGCAGTAGCCAATTTTATGCCACCATAGCAAACTATAGCATTCGCCCCATTCTGATTGGTTTGCTACGTTCCACTGTAGGACCAAACACCAATCAGAATGCCGTATATGCCAATTTTTGCTACGGTCAGATTCAACCTTAATGAATATGCCTGTAGCTGAAATTGACCATACATGGGCAACACGCTATGGTGTATTTCTGAAGGATGCTATTTTCTATGCTATAGTCAATTGCATAATGACCCTCAAACAGGCAATTACAAGTGTATTTTCGGGCGGGAATTCTTAAAACAATTAACGTATCAATGTCATCAATTTGTACATAACTAAATAAAAATAAAACCTTGAAATATAAACAAGGAAAAGTAAATAAAGTATTGCTAAATTATATTTTAAATTGATTTTATGAACCATGCTAGAACTGGCCTATGGAAAATCGGACCGTAGCATATGCTACAGTTGCAACGGTCTGAATCCGCCCCTGGAAGGCACAGCTTTTCATTTCCAAAAGCAGAAAAACTCATACTCATGGGAAAATTGAACAATCGCTACACTACTATGTTGAAAAGCTTAGCATTGATTGTATGAAGTAGCGCTTTAGTTTACTATAGTTTACATTTTAACATTTTACTGTTTGAGGAGACCTATGAATTTGCCACTTCAAAATCTGCAGTTGCACAGAATTAATTTATCTATTAATCCTGAACTAAAATGTTGCACATTTACATGGTAATTCGTTCAATTACTTTCTCTGTCAGGACTTTTCGACTTTACTCATGTGAAAAGAGAAAGTCAACACTCTGCCGAGAGTTGTGGGTTTTCTACAGGCACTGAAACCCTGTCTGGACCAGTGGGATCTGAAATTTCAGATAATCACAGAAGTGATGATGCCCAGGCACTGTTGTCGATTATGAACTTGATACAAGTATTTTAGATCAAACTTTATGTGAAGTTGACAACAAGCAATGACATTTTTCCAGAAAGCAGTGTACAATTGGCTGAGATACAGGTGCAATTCTGTACTATGGGAATAGAAAGCCTTGCAAAAAACAAGCTAACACATGCCTTGAAAAGTCTACCAGCTATAACTCCACCTTCTCAAAAATATGGGTGTGGTTTAGCTTACCTGGCAAATAAAGTTGAGGAGCATTATAGTAATAAACACAAATAGCATAACCGGTTGCCAGTTCAACTTATTGGCGCCCAAGCTATAGCTCTTGCTCGGTTTAGCTATCTGATTGCTTACAATGTGAAGGTGAAACTGATGGACAAAGACTTTGCTGCATTGCCCTTTTGAAATCAATTCAATAGAATTCACATCAGTATAGCCGAGCTTTCAGAGTTAGAGGAATTCTGTGAGCTTTATTTTAATCTTTTAGTGTTGTTTTTTCCTGAGTTTGTTAAAATCACTGTTTGGACAGTTGGATATGGCATACCATACCATGCAAGGAAGCTTTATAATGAATACAGAATTGGGATTGGAATACTTTCTCTTCAGACAAAGGAATCAAAGCATGCAGGTATCAAGAGGGAACTCATGGTTAACTAACAGATCAACGAGCAGTTCCGTTGGGAGTAAGTGGTGGCAGATAATGAAGGCTAATTATGTTAGATCTTTTTATTTACCAGAACATCAACCATCACCACGAACCTACACATCTCACTTCAACTCACGTACACCATCTCATTGTGAGTTTCCAATGTTCTGCGACTGTTGTCGAAAGATATAGAGGATTTGTCTTGTTTCATATGTAGTAGTTGCTCCCTTGTTATTGACTGCGCCAAGCAGCAAAAGCTCTTACCAACAGTAATTACCATTTAAAACCTGTTGTGTGCCCAACGTGCAATAAAACCTTCCCAGATGCAGACAGTCTAGATGATCACAGCATTGTGCATGGCAACAGTTCTTTCAACCTGACAGGTCTAAAGATGGTTCTTGAAAATAAGGCTCCAGGTCAAAAGGCTTCAACAAATAAGACCCAGGTCAAAACAAGGTTCCACAGGATATGTCAGTTCCTCAACTTAAGGAGGCTTTAAGGGAAAACATAAGTTACAACATGATTTTTTCGGTAAACTGCAATTGATATCCAATGGAAAATCGATATCCAATGGATTTGATGTCTACCGAGTGGAGGTAGACATCAAATCCGTTGGATATCAATTTTCCATTGGATATCAATTGCAGTTTACCGAAAAAATCATGTAACGTTTTGGTCCCATAAACAAAACTTTACAAAATATATAAACTGTTCTATTATCTTACCAAAGGGGTTTCATCTTGATTTAAAGTCATCGTTGTTGTTTTATTGACAAATATACACTGACACCATTTTGAATCTCATGAACTTTGAACTCTGACCAAAATTTCCAAACGTTTTGAGTAAAAATTACCAAAAAAGCCAAATAAAACTGTGGTTATTTCAAAACAATAAATAAATTTTATTTAAATTGAATTCACTTAAATATTAGCAATTAAATTCACTCAAATATTACAATTATAATTATAAATTAATGTTTATCAATAATATTATTTTGATAAAGTTCAAATATGGTTACTATAAAAATAGTAACTAAAATAGTCCATAAAGTTTCAATAATGCAAAGCATATAATTATGTGTTTCGAAACAACAAAATCAATAGTCTCAATTCAACGCTTGTAAATGTTACGACTAGCAGCCCCACTATCTCTAGCTTAAGGGCACATCGCCCTTCAATTTGTTTGTGTTCGGCATTCAATGTCGCGTCCAGCCATGCTGGTTCAAGATTGAATTTCATGGCCATCAACACTCTCTTCCAGAAATGTTTTGGTCACTTTGTCTCATTGTTATCCTCGCCAATATTTAGGTTTAATAACTTAGAAGAAATATCGCTTTCTGCCATATTTGAATTTTTTATGGGAAATTAGAATAATAGCATACTCTGCTGACAATCTGAGCCTGCGCTTCCGGGAAGATATTGTATAGCAACCAACCACTGTGAATGTGCTCTTTCTGTTTATACTCATTCTAATTCCAGTTTTGCCTTGATCATGTTTGCAATACATGTCATTTTGCTTATTATAATACCTCTTAGTGTATTCTCTATTTTTTAGTCCCCACTGTCTTGACTCAAGTTTCAAAACATCTCCAGGACTGTTCATTTTATTTTATTTCCTCGAAACAATAGTTGTTGCTACATCATTGTTCTTCTCCACACCTTGCCCAGTAAAAAGTTTGACTGTTTTAAACTTCTGGAAAAAAATCGGAACATGGTAAACCATAGCATGTAAAGGGTCGTGTTTGCTTTCTTGTATCCAATGGCTTTATCTCTTAATGATACAAACAGCTTTACCCATTCCTGTGCTTTATCAAAATAGTCTGCTATATATAGAGTATATTCCCAAAGGGTTTTGATTGTGCTTTAACAAAGTGGAGGAATCATGCCATTGAGCTTCTCTGTGAGCTTCTCTGTGAGCTCCTTAAGTAATTTTTTTTCTTATCTGACCCAAGAAGGCTAATGAAGTCATATAAGCCAGAACCTTTCCCAACCCACATTAATTTTCTTCCAAATGTCAAAGGAAACGCCGCACGATCTGATAACATCTATCAGGTGGTATACATGCATGCTGTTCTGCTCACTAGCCCCCCCCCCCCCCCCAATTATCATGTTTATCCCACTGTATAGCTTCTTTCACCAAATTACCAATAAGAAAATCCATGTTCCTGAGCAACAAATGCAATTCATCAATAACAACATGGCTCAACTCGATATTAAGAGTAGGTGCATGTACACTACAATAGTGTTCTTTCTTTTTTTTGCATGCCAAATCATGCATCTCCTCTAATGTCCTCTGCATGGGTGGTGAGTTGTAGTAGTTCAGATCATGATGCATGTCCCATCTTTGATCTTTATGAACCTTACACCAGACACATGCATGGTTGGATGAGGCTCCACTTAGGCCCATCATAAGCAAAATAAATTTGTAATCCCCCCCCAAGGACGAATTCTAAATTGACAGTTTCTCCATCCACATCTATTTTCTTCTGTCACTACTTCATTTTATATGTTTAAAGACATCAGCAAAGCATTCCCACAATAAATCATAATCCTCCTTTCCTTATATACACTACCGCAATTGTACGATTTTCCTTTTGCTTACATAATGTCATCTGATGATTGAAGTATGCCAAAACTCATCAAAATATAATTAGAAGTTCTTGTCATTCTTGCAAGATCTCCAGAAATTTTCACTTTTATGGGCTCACCATCAGTAATTATGTTTTGATGAGGTTTGACATAATCATGTATTCGTTCCTTCAGTAATTCCTTCAATGAAACTTGTGCCCCTTCGGCATCACCAGACATTGAGCTAATATGGCATATTTTACTTAGCTGATCCCGCTTTTGTTTGACCGACTAGGATCGCGGTAAGTCATCTCTATCATTGTCATCTCATGGCAAAAGACATCCCCCACACAAAACTTGTCAAGCAAGAATAGTACTTTTTCCACCTTTTCTTTATCATCTTCTGACAGAGCATTAAAACCATTACTGCCAAGTGTGGGGTCAGTGGTGTCAGCATCCAAATGATGCACAACACCAGTTTTATTGTCCTTTACAACTACGCTCTCCAATTCTAGCCCAAATGATTTGGAAAACCATAAGGCTGTTTTGGCATGTTGTAAGTGTTCTGTACTTGTTTTTTACCTCTGAAAGATCCTTTCCTTTGTATTGGAGGTGGTGTGATTTTTCAAGTAAATCAATGTACTGCATACATTCTTCATTTTTAGATCTTTTTCTTTCATTGCAATCTCCATTTCATGATACAACTTTTCCACATCATTATTTAAATTAACACAAGTTTGTTTCCACTTTTCCAACTCTTCGTTTACCAATTCATTTTTCTGTTTAAGCTGTGATAACGAAATAGTTTGCCCTTGCAAAATGTGAAATTTCCTGGTCATGGCATCCAGTGGTTTTCTTTTCCAACCTTTGGTTTTTCCATATTCTCCATAAACGTCAGCAGCTAGAACTCGAAGAGATTCATTTACTTCAGATCTGATAGCAATATCCAATCAAATGGCAAACAAATTACCAGGAATTGAATGCTCAAGTTCGTCCACGAATGTTACTTCACTTAGGTAGACAGACACCATAGGATATTCACACGTTGGATGTAGAGGTTTCTTTAATACTATGATGTACCAAGCTTTCAGCAGCGGATGACGAATATCTAAAGTCAAAACTATATCCTGTGCACTTTGAGCTTTATTACATATTTAGCATATGCTAATGAAGGGCTTGCAATTGCTAATTTCCTTTTCAAATAGCAATCTAATGGTGGAATATCAGACATTTTTAATACAACTCAGTGTGAAGACTATAAAAAAATGTAAGAAATTGTGTGTATATTGAAATTATGAACATAGTTCATAATGTATATCGTTCATATGGAACGCCATGTGTCCAAAAATTATTTAACGTTAATTATATCATATCATGACTAAAACTGTCATTGTATATAAATAATTGATAAACGAACAGACATTATATCAAATCATGACTTATTCGTTTTTGTCATTATTTGATATAATGTTATCAACATTAAGCATTATATCATATCATGAACTTCCGAAAAGTCATGATATGATATCATGACATTTCGACAGAATCATTATATCATATCATATCATGACATTTCGACAAAATCATTAATGATATCATAAGCATTTGTGTAAGTCCTGATTTGATATAATGCTAATGCATTACACTATGATATCAAATAATGACTTTTCAGTTGATTCATGATATCATGTAAAAGAACTTTTTCATTATATCATATAATGAAACAGCGCCAAAAAGTCATTAATTGATATAATGCAATAGCGTAGTGTGCCATCTGTCCAAAAATTAAAACTGTCCAAAAATCAATTAACCTTATAACTCAAACGTCCGGTAACTTAAAACCTCCGGTATCCCAGTTGATTTGGACTCCCGTAGATTCGGACTGCCTGTCCATATCCACTAGAAGATTTGGGCCGGGACCCATGGACCGAAGGCTACAAGGCTTGCATTCGATTTTTTTTAATTTATAAAAAGGGATAATTATGGCGAGTGGTGAACGTTACTGGGAAGAAGCAATAACTCCTTACCAAACTGACAGATATGTGGCAGATATTTGTCACAGTTCTGTAAAATATCTGCAAAATATATGTACGAAAGTATCTGTCACATATCTGCAACATATAGGAATTTGGCCCCATAACATATCTGTCACAGTTTATTTTTATTTATTTATTTCTTTAGCTTTGCCAACTAGGGCAGGGTCACCACCACAGCATATGCCAATTACTGTGGGCCCTTTTTACCTAACCCACCCTGTCAACTTTCCCTGTGGGAGGAAACCGGAGTACCCAGGGAAAACCCACGGCTTTCGGCAGAGCGTTGACTTTTACTCTTTTCACATGGGGACTGGGTTCGAGTCGCACTGAGAAGGTACTTAGTGAGACTCGAACCTGCAGCCTCGGATGTGAAAGGCAAGTGCGCTAACCACTTGGCCACCGAAGCCCCTTACAGTTATGTGACAGATATCTTTCACAGTTATGTAACAGATATCTGTCACAGTTATATGACAGATATCTGTCACATATCTGCAACATATAGGAATTTGGCCCAATAACATATCTGTCACAGTTATGTGACAGTATAGTTTCCCTACAGATAAAATTATCTGTATATTATCTACCAAGCAGATATGTCACATAACTGCCACCAAGTGAGTTTTATTTCTTGCATAAACCTATTTCCTCTTCTGCAACATCAAGTTGCTGCAACTGTACCTCTGTCATGTTCACTTGAAGCCATAATAATTTAATATGAAGAAATACTAGATCAGATATTAAATGTATTTATTGCTGCTGTAGGCAGCACACTATTCTTGACAACTGATTTTGACATCATGACTCGTGCCAGTTTCCTTGACCGAGTTATAACGATGCAGCTTGAATCAAAATTTGGATTTCTGTCAGTCGGTAATTGCTCGTAAGTCGCCGTAAAGCTCTCGCTCTTTACTTTCCGCCATGATGAAAAATATAAAAAAACGATAATTTCTTCACAAATAAACGACAATAATTTTGTTAGAAAATTATTTTTTGCAGGTACGTTTTAGCCAATTATTAATCACAGGGTTGCCAATGTTTACTTACTGTATTAGTAATAAGTTTATATTGACCGTTTAAATATCATGACGAATGATGCAGGCATGTTCAATGTTGGCAAATGTTATGATTTACGAAGAAAAACGTGAAAATGATCGAAGACTTGACATTAAGGCTCTGCTCACACGCACAGGGTATATAAGTATTAACTCAACGACGAAGGAAAACATCGAAATGATGTATAGTGTTGTATGGTGTCGTATAGCCTTCTATAGTGTTGTATAGTCTTGTATACTGTTGTATGTTGCATAGTGTCATTTAGTGTCATATAGCCATATATAGTGTTGTATAAGTCTTGTATATAACATTGTATAGTGCTGTATAGTTTATCTATTGTTGTATAGTCTTGTATAACGTTGTATATAGCATTGTATAGTGACGTATAGCCTTATATAGTGCTATATAGTTTTGTATAACGTTGTATAGTGTTGTATAGTGTTGTATAGTCTTATATAGATTATAGTGTTGTATTTTGTCCTATAGTGTTGTATAATCTTATATAATGTCATATAGTCTTGTATAAATTAACATTGTGTAGTATTGTATAGCCTTATATAGTGTCATATAATTAACATTGTATAGTATCGTATAGCCTTATATAGTATTGTATAGTGTTGCATAACGTTGTGTAGTGTTGTATAGTCTTCTTTAGTGTAGTATAGTGTCATGTATAATCTTGTATAGTGTCATAAGTTTTTATAGTTTTGTATATTGTTGTATATTGTTGTATATAGTGTCGTATATACAACCTTATATATTGTTGCACAGTCTTGTATAGTGTCATATAGTGTCTATAGCCTTTATATATTGTTATA